TGTGCAAAATGAAGTTTTTAGAGCCTTTTTTCTTGAGGATTTATGGGCAAAGTTCCTGCAGTTTCACTCACTGAAATGGATGAACAGCTTTAGATGAAACTTTGAGCAACTAATGACAGCAGAGTTTGCCAGAGGCAAAAACCTGGCACAAAGAAGTTCAGCCTAAATGATTAAATTTGGCAAAGTTATATATAAGAGAGTGAAAGAGAACATCTTAAAAGGAGAAGTTTTGGATGACCTTAATGCTGTGCACTGCAGCTTGTGGTGTCTTTAATAGGTTATTTCCAGAGCATCTGAGTGTCTTCCAGTAGTGCATTAAGCAATATAACATCTGTCACAAGGTTCATTTTCCCTCTCATCTCCTCCCTCAAGGGAAATTCCCTCATTTCTTAACCTCTACTGGACCCCCACTCAATAATGTTCATTACCTCAAGAGAAAAAGCAAAAGCCTATCAAAAAGGAGGAAAAAAAAGAAAAAGAGATAGATAATAGATCTAAGATTCAGGCTGCTTTGGTGACATTTTAAAAGTCTTTTCTGCCAAGAAAAACAGTAATTTCTTTTAAATTTCTTTACATGATATTTAAGCATTGAAAAGGAAAGACAAAATTATTGAGCTATTTTTCCTTCACCCGTGATTATGCAGCAATTTATCAACAAAATGAAACAGGAACATCTGACTGGGATTATTTATTATACAGTAAGGCATTTATTTTCTGTTCACTTCACCAGGAACAGTGTCTCTGTTATGGCTAGTTAGCCATCTGTGTCCGAAGAGCTTTCAGGAAAGGATTAAACTGTCATTTGTTTTATTTCCTTTCATGAAATAACCATCCTAACAGAGCTGGGGCAACACTTGGGTATTGCTGGACTTGCTACCTTAAGGTGGCGTGTAAAGGAGTAACTGGATCTTCCCTGGAGCTAAAGCAAAGCAAAGCAAAGTTTGGGGGCTGTGTTTGTTCTTTTTGCTCCTCACACTGAGTAACAGGCAGTGTCCTCCTGGAAATGGCACAGAGTGGGCAATGGCTGTGCCATGCTTAGGCAGAAGTGGAATTACCCATGGATTTATTTTTTGAAATCTGATTCATTCAGTACGTTCAGTCGGAATGGCCTGGGTTTAAGCACTGAGAGAATGTGCAGCTGATCAGGGTTGGAAGCAGGAGGTTGACAAAGAAAACCTCAGAAGGTAGAGGTATTCTGTGTCCTCCAGGTGTGGGGATTCCCAGCCTCAGCCCTCCGTTCCCAGCCCCATACATCCAAGGCCAGCACCACCAGGACAACCAGGTTATGTGGCAGCCCTTCCCCATCTACAGCTCCACAAGTGGCTCTAAAAACTTGGAACACCTGGAAAGAATGAGCACAATAGGCTGCCTGGTTCAGAGACAGACGATCTGTGCCCTCAGTAAGAGCAAACATGTGGGAAAACTATTTGCTGGAAGAATGTCCCTCGTGGCTATTGCAGGGTGTCTGTGCCTTGGGCTGCACGGTGCCAACTGCTCATCATGAGTCACACCCACATGTCACTCACAGCTTTGGGCCACAAACCAAAAGTGCTTTTCCAAGCAAGGGGCAGATTTGGAGTGCTTGGCTTGTAGGTCACGTTTTACAGCCTGATTTTTTGGGAACACGTGGAAGCCAAAGCTCTCGGGCACTTGTGGTGCTTTAAGTGACACCTGTGCTCTTCAAAAATGAGACCTGCACAGGATTTCATGGGACTTTGCTGAAGTGCAAAAGCTTCTGGGGTGGAAGAGACTCACCTGGAGCAGCTGCCCCAGCACTGTGCTGAACCTTGAGGGGACACTTCAGCCAAGGAGGGTGAGCCCTGCCCTTACAACAAGTGCCAAACATTTGAAAGGATCAGAAAATGGCTTCTCAAGGTCTTGGCTTCCAGGACCACACTTGATACTGCAGTGAATTCCATGTGCCACCTCTGATCGAGAGGAAGACCTGATCTGTCTTGAGTGAGTGGGAATTAAAAGACCCAGGTATCCCATAGGAACCACAGCTCTGGAGGCTGCTCCAGCAGGAGCTGGTCTGGCACAGCAAACAGCAGCATTGCAGGAGAAATAAAATACTGACATCTATAGGATGTTAAGCATTTCCAACAGCTACAATAGGAAGACACCCATAAATAATATCCATTCTTCCCTAAAATTTCCTACATTGGTTCACCTCAAGAACCAGTTCAGCTTTCCTGCCCATCATTGTTCACGTGCTCCTCATTGCAGCCCCAAAGTCTCTGTGTCTGGCCTGGCCTGGCCCACAGGACATTCCCGGTGTGACCCCAGGGATGGTGGGGAAGAAGCACCTGCAGCAATAAATGGGACAGCCAGAGGCAGCAGTGGGGATGGACAGAGCTCTGCTGGAATGACAGCCCTGCCTGGGAAGGGCCCAGGCTCTGCTCCAGGTTCCAGGGAGGCTCCAGCCACCACCACCCATCCCCATGTACAGTACATTTGCCAGCAGCTTCGGGATTCCCCCTGCTGGGAGGGCACACAAGGGGCTCATTCCCACCTCTGCTGCTTTGGGGGGACTGTGAGCAAGGAACCATCCACTCCTCACACCTAGCTGTCCCCGGGAATCCATGGAAAGATCGTGAGGCTGTTGCAAACCCGACCAGGAACACACAGGTTCCCTGGCTTTCCCCAAGGTCCCTGGTGTGGCAGCACTGCACCTCCTGCCCAAACTGTCTGAGGCTGCTCTGCTTTTTAATTCCTACTATGTTTGTGTCATACCTGGTCACAAGCTGTGGGGCTGCAAATCCACAGAGCTGTGCCCATGCTCTCAAACCTACAGGAGCATTTAATTCTCCTGATCAACTCCCAGACAAACAAAAGCCAAGAAAGAGTAAGGACATCAACAGCAGGCAGCACTGTCTCAGCATAAACAGAATTATAATGCTGGTAGGCTGACTCTGTTTACACTCCCAAATTAAAATAACCTTTTTCTTATCCCCCTGCTTAACTTCCCTAACATCCCACTCCCATACTGTCAGCAGGGAATCCTGCTGCACTCCAGGGAAGCTGCACAAAGATTTGGAGTCACCACAGAGATTGAAATCCTCAGTTATACAGAAAAAGCATTTGGCCACCGGCTTTGGACTGAAAATATCTCTTTTTAGAGAGGATTGGGGTTTCCAAGTTGTCAGGAGCAAGACCTGGGAAGATAAAGTAGTAAAAATAATTTCCTTTTTAATGGCAACTTTGTGGCCTTTTCAACTTAGAGAAAAACTTTGAGCTTTCTCTGTCCACAGAACTCTAAAACAGGCAGAGCTGTTTTATTTTATTAGTGAAACAGCACAATTCCTAGTATTCTTGCTATGACATTTGCTCAGGGAGCTGAGAGAAGAAGCAATGAGCTGAACACGAGCAGGGACAATGGCAGGATTTGATTTCTCCTGCTGCCTTACACAGCAGTGAGTCCCTTGGTCCTCCTCTCCCCCTCCCTCTGTGCTACTGGGAACCTGCTAAAACACACCTGTGGGAGGTTTGGGCTTTTAAATCCGTGTCCTAAATGTCCCAACAGTTCCCTAACTTGCAGAAAGTTTATTCCCATCAGGCCTTTAATCTCAGTTTTTGGGAAAATCACTGCAAGTATCTCCCTTCAGAAGCCCACAACAGAACATGTCCAAGAGCTAAAGAGGTTCCCCCCATCCCATGAAAACTGAATGTTCTCCAAAGATTAAGATTTTTAGATTTAAAATTCTCGTGTTCAGGCTGAAATTACAAGCTAATAACAACAATCATGTCATTAAGTTTGGATAAAAGGTTTTGATCATGAGGAAAGTACATTCCTACACAGTTCAAATTAAAAATCTCAAAGGTTTGAGCCCCTCCCTCTCACACTCCACTTCCTGTCCCTCACCCTGTGCTTCTGCAGAAACACAGGAAAGAAAGAGCCGAAAAAAAGCAAGGAAGAAAAAATACTTTTCTCTCCAGAATGCAAGAAAAACAGTAACAAGTTCCAGTTATCACAAGAAACTTATTTTCTGCACAAAATACAGTTTGTTTTTTTCCAACAGGCTCCAGCTCACAGGCAGGCTGTGAGTAAAAGTGTAATGCGTGAAGGCAAATATGGTTTATATTGTAGGAATTTCCATGATTTTTATGGATTGCACTGATGAGAAAGGCATTTGCACTCTCTGAACTACCAGTTTTGTTGTGGGATATACTTTGAATAATTCCTTTGCAAAAAGCACGATTATATATTCATTAGAAATGGAAAGTTGTTCTGGAAGATCTAAGCTTCTAAATTAATGGTATTTCAATAACTGAGGTGGCATAAATTAAACATACTGACTCTCCAATTCATCTTCCTCTAAGCCATAATATATCATTGCTCTCTAATTGCAATTCCCTGCCATGCTGTCCCTCTTCATCTTAATTCTAAATGGTCTGCCACTTATCAAACCATTCCTGTGCACTGCACAATCCTCACCCTGAACTGCTCAAATGTTTTATTTTGGAACAACACAGCTCAGCCACAAGCATCATTTTTCTCTTCATGACTTAGTCTCTCCTGAAGTAAATCATGGAGAGAACAGGAGTTGTCCCTCTGTGGCCAACAGTTCTCAGCTAATCCCAGCCCAGCCCAGCCCTGGGAGCAGAGCAGGGATTAAGCTGTGCCTGCACGAAGCCACTCCGTGCTCCTGGCAGGAACAGCTCCCTCCTGTTAGGATTGGTATTCCCCAGATGTTTCACTTGGAGCTTGGCAGCCCAGGCTCTGTGGCTGCAGTTCAAGTCCCAGGCTTGAGCAGCTCCAGTGTTTATTCTCATAATTTACACTTTGGGATGGCTTATAGACAGTTATGTACTTGGTTTTACAGCCACCACTTCAAACCCAGGGTCTGATCCTGCTGCTGTGGAGTCAGGGGTAGAGGATTCCCAATTCCACCACTGGCAGGAGGCCCCACATCACAAAACCATCTCTCAAAGCAAACAAGTTAATATAAAACACTGCTTTGGTTTAGAAATAATAAAAAAATGCCTGAAATCTTACTTACTAGAAAGTCTTCTTCACAGTACACCTTGCCATTGACATTGTAGAATGCTTTTCCTCGTAGTCTTCTCCCTGTTTAAACACAGGACCGTCAGAATTTTGTGCTCCATCCCCAAACCCAGTTGTTCAGGATGTGAAGTGAAAAGCACATCCTTCAGTGCCTGTCTGTGGGGTCTGTTCCTAGCCCCTCTCCTCTCCAGAAGGTCCCATCCAGAGACAGGGGTGAGGGTCAAGCTCTTGGTTCTATCCTGCCTTACCAAATCAGGCACCAAACTTTGCCTCAGGTATCATCTAAATATTACCTCCAAGTGCAGGTTATGGAACCCAGCTGACAGAAGTTCCTGGGAAACTTCAAATCTAAACTCAAAAATAATTTGGGGAAAAAGACTCCTTTGCAAATTGAGACAATTTTCCTGGCAGGTAAAATCCCAGTGGGCACACAGCCACTGCCATCAACAGCATGTCTGTCTCCAAAGGACCAAGCAAGGGACACTGCATATGGATGTTCCTGCCACCCTTAGAAATATTAATCATCAATGCCACAGCAGCTTCCTGAGACACTAAAGCAGTACAAGGCATACATGATGGAGGGAAGGGCAGGAAAATCACACTGAAAACAAGAGATTTTGTATTCCAGTTTTGACATTTGCCATCTCATTAGCCCTTGTGGAACTCTACTGACAAAGCCTGTGATGGTCATTAATTAACTGATGGCTCCTTTACAGCAAAGAACTGCACAGCAGACTCCAAAGAGTCCCAACAAAAAGGATTAAAGCCAGGAATTCAAGAACCACCAAGCCCCTCCAGGTTTCAGATGCAGCAGATCAGAGCTGTCTTACCAGAGCTGCTCTGCTGAAGGCAACGTTGTTCTGCCAGTGTAACACCACACAGGGAGAGGGCAAAACACACTCATCCCAGCTCACCTTACTCCCACTGGGCCAGGGTCCCACTGGCCAAACTCCCAGGCAGTGGGTGCTCTCCCCAGCCCTGTGCAGCCCTGCCAGGCAGATGGCACAGGGATGTGCTGGCAGGGACACGGAGCCAGGGAACCCACAGGTCAACAGATGGTCCCTCCAGGTCACTGCCAAAGCTCCACTCACAGAGTGAGCCTGGACATCTCCTCCAGCTCCACCATAACCACCACAACCTCCAGGAGGGTTGGACTCCGAGGGCCAGCGGGCTGAGCCAGCTGGCCAGTGTGCTGAGGGGCAGGAGTGCTTTCCACCGTTTCCATAAACAATGTGGAGGAAAATGTGATTAATTTTCAGTGCTTGAAAGTGCCTTTGACACGTTGCCACTGCGATCCGACCCTGGGAAACAGCGTGTGGCACAGAGAAGTTGGGATCTGGGCTGATGCTCTGGGAAGTCACATGCTGCATGTGGCTGTCTGGTGGTTTTACTGTCGTGGCCCAGGGAAATGCTTCTTTTGTGTGCACATTCTTGGGCTGTCGATCTCACGGGCTGCTGTCTCCATACTGCTGGTAGGTGGAGTCAGCCCTTGTTTGTCTTTCCAGCTGCCTGGTAGCTCTGGTGGGGACCAGGAGCCTCGTGGTGTGGGCAACATGTTTATCTCCTCTGAGAGCCTTGGGTAAATCTGTGCCATCCACCAAACGAGGCACAGGGCTGGGACAGCAATCAGGGGGTCATGGGGCCTCTCTCGACTGATGCAGGAGCAACCACCTCTAGAACTTCCCTCCTGCTTATCCAAGCTGGTTTTGAACCTCTCCAGTGAAAGGTAAAAGCACATGGAATGGAAGGAAGAAAGGGAAAGAGGCCAGAATGGCTTTTTAAAGGACACACTGTGGGTGTCGAGCCCAGGCCTGGAACACGACTTTAGATGGTGGGCATGAAGTGGCTGCCCCCAGGCAGGGCCTGGCATGGTGCAGCAGTGCCATCGTGCTCACACACACCTGCCAGGGTGTTTGGTGAGGTGAGGGAGTGCTGGCCACCCCCCTCACCACACCCCACTGTGGCTGGAAGCAGCAGAGGTAGTTAGGGACAAATCCCAAAGCCCGTTCCTGGAAGGATCTGTGCAGGACAGGAACGCTCTGATAGGTTTACTTGTCATAGGTTTACTTGTTCTAAACAACCAAGCAGGGAGAGGGAAAGGGTTTGCCTTGGGTGATTGATCTGCACAAAGAACTAACTAGCAGGCCTGCATTCTGAGCTGATGGCCCTCCTGAGACTGTGGGGAGGGGTTAGGAGTTTTTTTTTCCTTCTCTCCTGGGAAACAGGAGGCATTTCACTCCTGCCTTAACTCAGGCAAGGTGTGTGTTGGAGGGCTCCGAGGTTCACTTTGTTCTCAGCCTGCTCATCTGGCTGTTTCTGGCCCTGGCTTGCCCCCGTTTTCCTGCACCCTGCTCTGCCCCCAGCCCGGACCTGCTCGGATTTCATGGGAGAGGTTTGACCCACCTGCAGAGGAACCTTTTGGGGAGGAGGCCGCCCTCTCCCTCCTCCGCTCCCGTGTTGGCAGTGATGTCTGACCACGGATGAAAGGGGGAATTCCCGGCCACAGCCAGCTGCAGACAGGGTGAGTTTCGTGGGAAGAGCTCCTTTTCCCCCTTCCTCCCCTTCTCGGTGGGGAGGAATGTCCATTTTGGCTTCTCCCACACACCAGGGTCGACCGCCAGAGCCCAACAGAGCCGAACCCTGCTGATCGTGGTTAGAACTGCGCCAAAGGATGGAAAGTATCCAACTGTTTCCTTTTTGAAGGGGACTTTTGGATACAGGATTATTGTTTGGTTGTTTTTTGTGTTCTTTTGTTGTTCTGCCAATACACATATATCCATTAATAAGGGGCTGTTATTTTTTCTTTCTCCACACTTCCTCAACTGGAGCCTCTTAATTTCGGATTTACAAGTGCTTAGAAGGAGGAGCTTGGTCTTCCTCACAACTCATCCTCCTTAGTAAAACTCTTCAGTCTTATTAAACTGAGACATATGGGGAGGGTCAGCAGGAGGTGCAGGAGGATCTGTATCCCAGTGTGCAGAGCCTGGCAGTGCTGAGGCTGATCGGAATGACCCAAATTCTGCTCCCGTTGTTTCCTTAGCAAAGCATCACCAGCAGGAGCCAGGGGGGTCAGAGCTTTCCTGGACTGGGATGAAGTGGGAAGCCTCTGACCCAGAGCAAACAAGGAAAACCTGATGTTTTGGAGTGGCTCTCAGACTTCTGATATCAGATGGGTTTGGCAGCTGATTGCCCTGTGACACGGACCCACCTGAGCCCAAGCCCAGCCAGGAGCCTCCACACCAGCCCTGTGAGCCCCATTCCCAGCCCATCCTACAAGCCTGAGACCTCTGCCCTACAGAGCACTCCCAGCACAACACCTTTTAAAACTGAGGGAAATACTGTTTTCCCCATTTTCCAGCTAAAAAACCCAAGATACTTATTAGGGAACAGACTTGCCTAAACTCATAAAGCAGGCAAGCAGCTTGCTCACATGATAATGACTATCATTAGCAATGATTAATAAGATTGACAGACCTTTTACCTTACAAGAATTTCATTCAGGGATAGTACAACAGTTATCTCAAAACCAAGAAACAGCAAGTTCATCACTCAAAGAGCTGCTGTGGATGCCTATATTGGCTTTTTCATTCTGCATTTTAGAAATAAAGACAAAAGCCTACGTTCCCCTTGCTGTCCAGAAGAGTTTGCTAAATGCCAACACCGAACACAGTCAAACACCGCGCTCGAGTGAAAACTGCAATCCAGAGGGAAGTGCTGGCAGCTGCAGCCAGGGAGACAGGAATCCCAAGGAGAGGCAGTGCTGGGGCCCCAGCCCAGGGCAGCCATGCACCAGGATGGGTGCAACACCTCAGGCTGGGGTACCTGCCCTGAGCTCGAGGCACTGCACAAAGGAGTTCACCTCCCAAGGTCCTGGATAACTCAGGGGCCTGCACAGCACCAACCTGTTCCACGTAGCTGTAACCCACTATTATCAGTTTGGCAGAGATTACAAGTTAAAACCCCCCTGATGTTCCTTCATCCAGCTGAGAAAAGCACCTGGCCAGCCAGAGGAGATAATATCATCCTGCCCGCTGGCACACAGGACCTGCTGCTTGGCTCTCCTCTGAATGACTGAGTCTAGCCAAGCCTGGTTACTATTTGCTTTCATAATATTGAAACAAAAAAAGTCAAGAGTTTCTGACAAAACCTGATGCAACTTGCCGGTGGCTCATTATAATGATAATGAGCAGCGGTAACGAGCAGCGGCGTGGGGTTTCACTGACACTGCCCTGGCTCCCTCCTCCTGCTCTGGGTGCCCTCCTCGGTGTGTCCTCCCTGTCAGACAGTTCCCAACAGCAGCAGGGAAGATGCTGTGCTTCACACCCGGCCAGAGGAGCAGCAGCTTGGCCAGGAATGCTTGGGGGTACTCTGAGACGGGCAGAGACACCGAGCCTTGCAGCGTCTGCACAGGGACCCAACCCCAACCCTTACAGGGAACTCCTTTTTTTCCCTGAGTGCTTCTCAGCCTTGTTTTACTGTACAAAATGAAGCTTATGCACTCACAGGGACAACTGCACTCACAGGGACAAATGCCTGTATTTCTTGGCTGACACCCACCCCCTTGAGGGGCAGTGAGCACCAGCATAAGGGGGTTCCACCACCTCACCTGGGAGGCACAGACCTCACAAGTGCTCCAGCAAACACTACAAAGATTCACATAGATAATCTAGTACGTAATAAAATACAAGCTAGAAATGACTCTGTCCCAAAGACCGATCACAATCGGTGTTTGTAACCAACATGACAAACATCCAAAAGAATGCAGGCTTTTGGAGCTTTAAAAATATATATAAAAGCAGAATCACCTCTAGATTTTTAACATCGATTTTCACATTTAACCAGTTTATGAGTCTCTGGTGTTTAAATGTATCTACCAACTTCCTGCAAAATCCTACTTCCTGCAAAATTTTTATCTCCTACACGTTGCAAACTAAAAGGAAGGAACGGGAGAGCTGTTGCTTTATTGAAGGGCTCAACTCAAAGATTCGTCTTGCAAAAGAAAAAATGACACAGGCTGTCCACAACTATTCTCTCCAGCCTCTGCAACACCCCACTGTGTGGTG